CTTTATATGAGCATAACGTATTTTCCGCTTTCCGAAAGCACTAAAAATGGCGGGAGAGAAAACTGTCATAAATTAAATTCTCAGCGATTTGGGAATTGCATCTTTAAATGAAAACTTTAAAGCAAAATTGATTGACAATCTTGAAACATGCAAAGCCTTAACACTGCGACTGTGAATTAAAGTCACGCGCCGAAATTCAATGGCGTTTACTTTTATCTGATAATTAAATAAATCAAATATGAGTCGTGCAGCTTTTTTTTTTCTGAATTGCTTTTTTCTAATAAATAAAAATCTTAAACTTCTGATCTTACTCAGAACACTGTATTTTTTTTTATCAGTCTTTAACTCTCCTTTTTTAAAGTGTAAACAGATATATAGTATAACACACGTGCACTGGCGGGTTGGGGAGGGGGGCAGAAATCCCACCCTACCATATTTAGTCACCAAAATATACATAAAATTAATAAATTTATTAGTTTTACAATGTAGGACATTGCATTACTTTCACATTAAGTTTAGCTGAATTAAATTGAAAACGTTTTTCTATAAAACTATAAAGCCTGCCGGGGAGTTTTTCCGCTTTCCCCCTTTGGTCACCAACTCTATCCCGTCCCCCTTCTTTTTTCAAGATTCCCATATGCGCCACAAATATGTGCCCATGCGTGCTTATTAAAGCATATTCAATTGATTTAGAAGAGGGACTGGTAGATTTTTGTAACAGAATTCTGGTCTTGGAATGGTTGAAAAAATTACTGTAACTAATTCCGTGACATAGCATTTATTTGAAAGAGGATGTCAGCCAGAAAGAAAAAAATTATTTACCCGAAAAAAACTCGACAAGCCAAAAAAATTGTCTAAGCCCGAAAATCCTATTTCGGAGAGGGGGTCCGACTTCGATCAGTCCTATATTTTTTTCAGTTATACTACATTACCCCTAGTGGACTATACTTCAACAATAAGTGGGGGTGGGGGCTGTACTTTCAATGAACATTACATTTTCTAAAAAAAGGTTATGAGGGGGGGGGGGCTGATATTATGTGTCTTTAATTCGTCCTACTCAATCGGGACCCCCCCCCCTCTTACGAGTCATTAAAACACGGTCGTCAACATTCATTATTATACTAGATATACAGCTTTCAGATAATGTAAATGTATTTTCACATCAAAACTTTTGGAATCAACATGATAAAGAGTTAACACAATATAAAGATATTTTTTAAATCACATAAGAAAGAGTTGACATAACGTTATTATATATCCACATCACGGAATGGAGTTTTGGCATAATGTAAGAAAGTGTTGATATAATATAAAGATATGTTCACATTATGTTATACACTTTTAACACCACGTAATAAAGCACTGACATATGATGCTCTCGCCGTAAAATAAAGATAAATATTTATCCATATCACGTAATAATGCTTTGATATAATAGACATACACATTCTCAAAAAGGAATGGACTTTTGACTTCATGTAATGATAAGTTTAATTATAAAACACAATTTACTTGACGTAATGCAATTTTGACCTCACATACTAAAGAAATGAAATAATATAAAGAAACATTCATTTCACGTAATAAAGTTTTAACACAATGTGAACATATTTTCATTTCATATAATGAACTTCCGACTTCAAGTTATAAAGTGCTGACATAATGGAAGAATGTGTTTACTTCATGTAATGCAGCATTGACATGATGTAAAGATATTTTTACATCACCCCATAAAAAATTGACATAATGTAAAGATATGTTCACATCACGTAATGATAGATTGACATAATGAATGCATAGTTTTATGCTATAAGGCAGTGATGGCGTTCCATATATAATAATTAACACTATAAGACTTTTAATCAATGAAATATACGTGTTAAAACCAAATCCAATCTATAGATTGATTTTTTTCTTTTAAGTTGCAGATATCAATTTATTTCTAAAGGCTTTACACCTAATCTTCTATCTTTCAGTTCCCTTTTGAGTAAATATAATATTTTAGAATCGACAATAAAAGTCGGATTCCGGGATAATTTCGCATTCAAATTAGAGAATGAATAAAGAATATTTTTTTTAAATATAATCATAACAGACATTACAGATTTACACTACGCTGACAACTTTAAACTATGCATATACTGAAAGCAGTAACCAACATAATCTTTCATGCAGAAGTGGATATGGAAACTCGAAGTCTAATTTTTTTTTTTTATGTGAAAAGTGTGGATATAGACGTCTGCGTCGTCATGGATACTACCTCCGCCTTTATCTAGAAAGTTCTATTCCCACTTACAAGTCAGAGTTATCTATCTTTGCTCATTGTCACTACGTAAAAAGAGAAAGTGAATTTATTGACGGAACCTTAAATCTCCAAAATGCAGAATCGATTGAATAAATAATATGTTTAGTATTTTTGTAGAATGATTTGTATATACATCGCTGTAATGTATACTACGTACAATATTATTTTTATTCAAAGTGCTTAGTTGACACAGAAAGGATATTTTTTTAAGATATAAATTTGTAAATCAAAAACTTTCAATATACAGACTAACACTACACAGCCAAATTTAAATTAATATGCATATAGTGAATTAAGTAACATGCAAAAGAGAGATTATTGAATGTGTAAATATGTTGATCTGGAGAGCGTATATATGTCTCTAACGTCATCAATACTATTTCCGCCTTTATCTCGAAAGTTCTATTCTCATTCAGAGGTCAGAGTTATCTTTCTTTGCCCACCAGCCCCACCTTATACATACTACGTAAATAGAGAAAATTTCGGTACCGAAAATATACAAAATGCGGAATCTGATTTAAAAACAAATTATATATTTAGTATTTGTAGAAAAATGTCTGTTTTACATAAGAATATCCTGAAAAAATATCGAAAAACAAAAAAATAAAAAATTGACCGAAAACAAATTCACTTCCGGTTCGGACAGGAAGTACTGGAAACACACGAAAACAACTTCAAAACAAATAGAATATCATGATCTAATACTCCTGTAAATTTCATATCTTTATCTCAGACCGTTTCCGAGAAAACTGCTGGACAAAAGTCCATTTTAAAATTCGAAAATCGGCCATAACTTCGGACCGGAAGTGAATTTTTCAAAAAACGGAATTTTATATAAACTTCATATATCAACCTACTTACATGAGAAAAATTGTGAAAATCTATCCAGCCATCTCTGAGTAATCGCGCTCACAAAATTTGGGAGGAATAATAATAATAATAATAATAATAACTAGAATCTTGTTGCCATGGCAACAAATAAGTCTTCCGTTCTTCTAAATCTGTAAGAATTTGCTTTTTTCTCTGCAAAAAACATAGATATATGTACTCTGAAAGAAAAAAAAACTGCAAAAAGGTCTTTCAGTACTTAAGGTACTTTGATTTTCATGACCAATCTTGTTCTTATGCATTTTAACACTCATAAGAGCTACACGTGTATCATAGACAAATCAACGGACGAACGAACACCGTACTCTCATAAACTTCACTGTGTTTATGTTCTGGCACAATTGTGATGGTGTTATAAAAATGTCATGAACTAAGTTAGTACCACATTAAACGTAAAGTCGTTGATTTTTACAGTAATACTATCGAGATTTGTCAGCAGAAAGATTATTCAACTACAGGAATAATTCAGCAATCGATTAATTGATTATAAGTCATTTAATGTCCTTCTCGAGTATTTTTCACATGGTGAAGCCTCCACTCGCCAGGGGAGACTGCAAAATGTTGTCCTATAATTTGGCTCTAATCGCCATTGAGCAGTGAGGAATCTTTTTGAGTCAGTACCATCCGACACACAGGACCTCGATTTAAATGATCTCATCTGACGAACCGGTCTCCACGTCCCACAACTGAAGTCCATAATACAGATATATGATGCTCTAGCCATGTTATTATTTTATTTTTCATTTCTCAAATTTGTTGCATCAGATTTTCTTAAAGATCATACTTAATAAAAATCATTTCGAACAACTTTATTGCAATGCATACAGCGTCCAGTGATTTTGATTGACAGGTCAATACATGTGCACTTAGTGTAATACTTCTTAAGCAGAAAAAATATACAGAGAGTGACTATGACTTTTTTGCAAGTCAAAAATTATGAATGAATCTCATAACTCAATGTAAAAAATTGATTTACATAAATGAAAATGGTTTGAAGTTCTGCAAATGTGAATTTATTATTATGTCTAGAATTTAAAAATGTACACAAAAGAATAAAAAAAATTTGAACAGAAATACTGAAGTTAAAAATTGATAGTGACAGTAAATTGTATCAAAGCAGAGTGATAAACATTCGATACACAATGACCTAGAAAATAAATTTCAAGATTTTAATGATACAATAAATAGTACTTGTGATATAAATGTAGATACTATAAGGACTCCGACAGTAATCTCATAAGGTATATGTTATACTTAGTAGAGGAGGCCATCCTTAAAGAATTGTTTTTTGCGGTAACGCGACCGACTCACTAAAATCCACCTGACTGGATTTTTTTATCGGTTCAAAAATCTTCTTTTTTTTTTCTTTTTTTACGTATCCATTTTCCGTTTTTATCCGATTGATATTTTTTTTACGTCTCAGTTACACCGATGCTTTATCTTTCCCCCAAGTACTATTAAAACGTCTTTGTGATCTAGGCCTACAAATTTAGAGATGGCATCCGAGAAGGTTGCGGGATATATTGACTCTATAGTTCTCTCAGTTACAGTAAATTTTTCAGGAAAAACATCTTTAGTTAATTACTTGGCAAAAAAAAATATTGTGCGTCAGTTCCACTTTACAGATACATGGTATGATGTTTACGAGATCGCCACAAAATTGGTGGCAGACGAAATTTCATGTGGGATGATCACGGATTTGCAGCTAATTAATAAACTATCAAAATCTTAAACCTCGTAAATATCAAACCACCGAAACACTAGATTAGTGTGGAGTCAGTTATTTGAGGTACGTGGCTGATGAGAGTCACTTTCTTAGAAAAGTTTGCCTAAAAAGAACTGATGTGTTCTGATATTTGAGCAATAAAAGATTGAATATATTTAGAATGCTTTAATTTTCTTGTTAGATAAGTAAGGTGAAAATTGAGACATAGTTAATACCTCTACATCAATGTTATTTATTTCTGACATTTTATCTCAAAAAAAAAAAAGCCTACCTACCTACTCACACCTAAAATGATGAGGCGCGTTACCGCAAAAAATAAATTTTTTAAGGATGGCCGGATCCATAATACAGACAAACTTGTTTAGATACAATTGATAAATTTATGTGGCAGCAAAAAATTCACACAACTTTGGGGCAATATTTTGTAGAACTTTAGATGTTCCAGTCACTCTAGGTTTGCCATCACTGGTTTTGGGAGAAAACATAAATTAATCTATTTTCATCATTTCTTACATAGCTATAGATCAGCTTAGATGAGAAAGTGCCATCGTCTCTGCCAGACTCCTCTTCATGAAACTTTACCAATCAGCACGCACAAATACCAGAAGTACTTTGATTTTCAGCATTGAACACCTGTTGAAAATGAGAAATATTTTTGTACTCCAAATGATTGTTTCATACAGATTAATGATGTACATGTGAATCATTAAAAGTTTGCAGCAGAGATTATTTCCGTCCAACATGACGGGGTAGTCTACTGCATGTAGTCAAATATTTTTCTTACACCGATTCTCGAGCAAATTGACAAATAATCATTTGATTTTAGAGCCACCAAATTTAAAATATATGTATCTACTAAATGATATAATAAAACTGTTCATACCTTCAAAATCCTTTCATGTATTAATTGTAGATTTAATGTTGACGACACATTGAGGGTCTCCCACAATGAACTGTAGATAATAGCTACAAAAAGGATAGATACAATTATATTACATGTAATTATTTAGATGCATGAACATGTAAATCCTATTTATAAATTATATGCCTTATCCAAAATTTCATGGTTTCAGATGAAAATTTAGATGAAGAATTAAGCTCCAATGTTTTATACTAGTTTTCAATGCCTAAATTATATTTTTTACTAGTTGTCAATGCCTAGATTAGATAACATAAATTCCATAAACAAAATATATATAAATATAAATGTTTACCTGTTACAATCTGTGTATTGAGTATCGACACTGAAGTTCTGCTTCCTCTGGATTTTCTCAGCTTTTGGGAACACCGATGTCAACTGCAAGCAATTTCCGCACTGTATGTACAAAAACCACCTAACCAGAGTTTCACTCACATTTAATTGCTCTCTTGCAAAAGAATAATGGTCCGATGTGACAATTTGAACGCAATTTGAGGCAATGAACATCAAACTCGATGACCCTCCGAGTCATCTTACGAACTCTTAGTCTCTTACTGGTTAAAATTAGGGTTATACCATAACAGCATTCCTCACAAATATGCATGGAATCACAAATAAGTTTATTTCACAAGTACGATCTCCTAAAGCACCTCAGCGCGCGTCAAATTTTCTTGAACCGTTCCTTGCCTGTCGGACTTTTCGTGGGCGCCGCCATCTTGAATTTTATAGTCTCGGAGACATCGTTTTATTTTAAAAGATGTACATTTAAACGTATTTAAACAACAAATTTGTTATCATCTTGTTGTTTTCTTTAATTATCTATCAACTGAAATAAAAATATTCGAATTGTGGCCTTTGATATTGACTCGAACTGAAAAAGCATTTTATTCCGTAAACTACCGAGATCAATCCGAAGTTTACCGAAATTACAGCCTCACGGTCCACGCAACAACTTGAATTAAAAACTTCATTCAACGACTAGTTCTGGGTTTTAAAAAGATTCGATGACTAGCTAAATGTAAGTTCTTCATCTTTTTTAAAATACTTGTGCCATAGATTCAATGTTTAGTTCGTGTTTAAAAGTATGTGTACAAGATTAAAATTTGGATCCGCCTCACGGTCCACGCAATAAAGAATGGGTACAACTGATATAGAACTGATTTCTTGTCTATGTAAATGGATAGGATAATCAGGATTAAAAGGGAATCTCTCTCTCTCTCTCTCTCTCTCTCTCTCTCTCTCAGACATGTAAATTTCAGTATCTTGCCTAATGAAAAATCTAATATTATAGAATATGAATTCTGTATACATGTTAATGGTAATTATAACCAAATGTTCCAGATTTAATTGTATAACGAATTTATAATTCAAAGGCCTATAGCTGCAATAATGTCTCCGAATAAAATCAAGAGGAATTACATACTCGGTAATTTTATGCTTTATGAATTAAAAGGAAAATACTTAAGGTTGCATGTACATACATATAACTATATAGCATTGCATAAAATTGTGTTCATTCGTATACTTTATCTAACATATCAACAGACCTTTGCAGGTGTTTTTGTATCATGTTTTTAGCGTAGCATTATTTCACACAGAAACGCGTAACTTTCACATAATGTTAACCCTTTGAGTACTAGTATTTCACAAAAATCCAAGAATCGTTTTTTCTCATATTTAATAACTTCTCGGGTATATAAAAGTATAGATCATGTATAATAAATAACACTATAAGACTTTCAATCAATGAAATATACGTGTTAAAACCAAATCCAATCTATAGATTGATTTTCTTTCTTTTAAGTTGCAGATATCAATTTATCTCTAAAGACTTTACACCTACTCTTCTATCTCTCAGTTCCCTTTTGAGTATACATATAATATTTTAGAATCGAAAATAAAACTCGGATTCCGGGATAATTTCGCATTCAAATTAGAGAATGAATTAAGAATATATTTTTTTTAAATATAATCATAACAGACATTACAGATTTACACTACGCTGACAACTTTAAACTATGCATATACTGAAAGCAGTAACCAACGTAATCTTTCATACAGAAGTGGATATGGAAACTCGAAGTCTAATTATTTTTTTTTATGTGAAAGTGTGGATGTAGACACGTGTCCTCGACGTCATGGATACTACCTCCGCCTTTATCTAGAAAGTTCTATTCCCACTTACAAGTCAGAGTTATCTATCTTTGCTCATTGTCACTACGTAAATAGAGAAAATGAATTTATTGACGGAACTTTAAATCTCCAAAATGCAGAATTCGATTGAATAAATAATATGTTTAGTATTTTTGTAGAATAATTTGTATATACATCGCTGTAATGTATACTGCGTACAATATTATTTTCTTCAAAGTGCTAAGTTGACACAGAACGGATATTTTTTTTAGATATAAATTTGTAAATCAAAAACTTTCAATATACAGACTAACACTACACAGCCAAATTTAAACTAATATGCATATAGTGAATTAAGTAACATGCAAAAGAGATAATATTGAATGTGTAAATATGTTGATCTGGAGAGCGTATATATGTCTCTAACCGTCTAACGTCATTAATAAGTATTTCCGCCTTTATCTCGAAAGTTCTATTCTCAGTCACAGGTCAGAGTTATCTTTCTTTGCCCACCTTATACATACTACGTAAATAGAGAAAATTTCGGTACCGAAAATATACAAAATGCGGAATCTTATTTAAAAACAAATTATATATTTAGTATTTGTAGAAAAATGTCTGTTTTACCTAAGAATATCTTGAAAAAATATCTAAAAACAAAAAAATTAAAAATTGACCAAAAACAAATTTACTTCCGGTTCGGACAGGAAGTACTGGAAACACACGAAAACAACTTCAAAACAAATAAAATATCATGATCTAATACTCCTGTAAATTTCATATCTTTACCTCAAACCGTTTGCGAGAAAACTGCTGGACAAAAGTCCATTTTAAAATTCGAAAATCGGTCATAACTTCGGACCGGAAGTGAATTTTTCAAAAAACGGAATTTTATATAAACTTCATATATCAACCTACTTACATGAGAAAAATTGTGAAAATCTATCCAGCCATCTCTGAGTAATCGCGCTCACAAAATTTGGGAGGAATAATAATAATAATAAAAAGAAACAATACAAACACTATAAGTCTTCCGTTGTGAACGGAAGACTTAATAAAAAGAAACAATACAAACACTATAAGTCTTCCGTTGTGAACGGAAGACTTAATAATAATAATAATAATAAGAAACAGAGTAAAAACAATATGTTCCCAAACTCCGTTTGGGGAACATAATTATTACATAACAAAGTTGCATTTTCCCCTTCAAAGAATGAACAAAAATACAGAAATTGTTAAATACTGGGTTGATAATGAAAACTGTATCTGGTCAATTTATGTTCCAAATAAAGCCTAGGTATGTGTCTACAAGCTGCTGTGCAGAAGTTTATCTAAATGCTGTGTTGTAACTCAGGGCAGTCAAAATGATATCAGCATCTAGGGAGGTTCTTCACAGCTCCCACACTCCATTAAACTGGCTTTGATGATAAGAAACTAGGGACAACAATTCAGATGTAATTTATTGTTGTGATTTATGCAACTGGCTTTCTCTTAAGACACAAATTAGCCATGAAATTTCAATTTAACATGCATAATTATTCTCTTTTCATGGATTTACTCAGGAATTCCAAAGGTGTTTAATGAATTTCCATGATTTATGCAAGATTATATCTTTTTGTTTCAACAAATTTACATAAAAAAATAAACATTTAAATTTTAGAATATAAATATTAAACATTTAAATGAGTTTGAACACTTTTCTATGAGACAAAATGCATCACAGAGACCAGATTCAGGACATCCTCCATGATTCTTTGAGGTGGGTGGGTGTACAAAAACTGCTGATTAAATTTATAGGAAGTGATCTGAGAAGAAATGTGCACCTTATTAGCTGAATTATAGTTATTCTGATATTTCAATTATGTAAATATGCCAAATTTCTTCATCAGTTAAACTTGGAATTTATTAATATTTCAATACAATGATATACTTAATAGATCATGCTCATATAAGCATCACTGACTGAGACTTAATTCAAAAGTGACAGTCAACACCTACATTTAAATGACAAAATAACAAAAAACAGTCTCCGACAAACTGAAAAAACATGAATGTCAGCTGCGAAAGCATAAATAAAGTCCTAAGAACCACAAGAGGCATGCCAGGGTGCTAAGTGACATTCTGCACTACATGTATGATGCATGGTTAGAACTCAGAATAAGTATTATCATGCAGACCTTGACAGTATTTCAGGATTTTTTGGTCATAACCTTCCTTACTGTGAAAAATTCTTAATGAATTTTACTTATGTAGCTTATGTATTAAGTTTTTTTTAGACAGATCTGACTCATTTCATTATTTCTGTTCTTCCAATGCAGTAATGTATGTATCACTGGAGGTCTGAATAAATTAAAATAAATCATGTGTCTGTAGAAATTATCATTCTGTAAAAACATTTTTACTTGTTTACATTTTATCGCAGTTGTCGCTTGTGCTAAAAATTCATTCGCAAACCTAGAATTAGTCTATTCTTGAAAAATCAGCTTTAACACCCTTTACCGCAAAGTCTGTATACACTATAATTGACTGCGGTCAGCTGGTGCAAATAATGTTAAGTCATATAAAATGAAAAAAGAATATTTTCTGACTTCTTTCCACATTTTAAATGCATAATGCTACCTTTTTAGTCATATTTTAAAGTATTGAGTGTAAAAAATAACCTATTGTTAATTTTTAAGCAGAAATCTGTGAAAAATAATGTAAACTCTAATTCTAATTTTAAAATTGTGTGTTTTCAAACAAAAAGTTAATAAAATCACATATTTTGTTGAAATATGCCTTTTAAAAATGAAAAATGTCTTTAATAAGGATTAAAATGATTTTTCATAATCACCTTCAAGGTATCACACCGGTAATTGTTTTCACTATATAATTCTATATAGAATAAAAAATCGTTAAAAATCAGGTATTTGTTTACAAGAAAAAATATTTAGCAGGAGGTGTTAAACATTACCTGTCACGTTAGCTGACACCAAAAAACAGGGTACCCACACGGCATTTTCGGACTTTTTCCATCTGAAAACAGGGCTACCCTCAAATCCACGTGTTTTCACTGTGTTTATAAACACATCGAGTGCACTACAGGAAGTAGCCTCCTATGCCATGAAAAAAATAGTTCCTGTCCAAAACCTTTATTTATTCACAAAGTACATAAAATTTACTAGGCACAGGTACCAAAGTTGTAAAAATGGCATGGAAGAAAATAGA